GAGAGGGGGGGGGGGGGAGTTAAAATAAACTTCGTAGTTATATTTTGAAAGTTAGACTCTTTATGTGATAACATGGGCTGCTCTTAAAAGAGCCTCTGTGGCAGCTGAGAGCTTCATAATAAGCTCTACTTGCAGCTGGTGTGCTTCGTGCCGTCACGGTCATGTACTGGATATTTATCGAAAGCTCATGCTAATTAATGAAGGCCTGGTTGCCTTTCCCTGATTGGGTCTTTTTGCAAAATGAATGAAAGAAGCAATTTCATTGGTTAGAAATGGGCTGCTTGACAGACATATCCGCCAATCACAGGCTTCTAAATCTGAACGCTTCCCGTCGCCTCCCCCCCACACACACACACACTTCTGACTTTCCCGCTCAATGTTTCTGTGAGAATCACAATCACGAAGAAAAGTAACTTTTATTATTATTGGATATGGAGCTGAGTGTCAGTTCTTACAATAAGTTCGAGAGGTTGTTACTATTTATTTATTGTTTGTTTGTGTATGTACATTCATGCTAAGTAGCTTAAGTACTTCCCCCTATTTATTAAATTTGTATTTATTTACTCAAAAGTCGGTAATTTTACGTTTATTCTTGCTCGATTTTACACACACACACACACACACACACACACACACACACACACACACACACACACATATATATATATATATATATATAATGCCACAACCTGAACAAGACGCTGGAAACTGAAAGAAGCTCTGTGATTGGTTAGTGTGTCATCGAGTTCAGCTCTGATTGGTCGAGCTCATTTCGGTTTGTGTTGCTGACGGTAACTTGTCTGAAATGTGTCTGCGTTGGCTGACAAACTCCAGTAAATGCTCTGTTTACCACGTTACCACCCTGCACATGAGTATATGAGGTAAGCTTAACCCCCTTCCCCTTAAAACGGCGTTATGATTAAATCTGCAGTGTTTTTGTTCTGTTTTAGAGCTGTTAGCAATAACAAGTCTCAGGCGCTGACTGAACATATTAGCTAATATTAGCACTCGTGTTGTAGTTGTTCATATTCTGTATCATCGAAACATTTATGTATGCACAAATAATCAAATATCACTCTTGATCAGTCGTTTATCCCATGCAGTTTGTGGTTTTGTGTGTGGCTAGTTAGCCTCGGTTGCTATTTCCATCATCAGTCATGAAGTACAGCAGGTTGTATTACGCGTACGTTAGTGTTAAAAGACACATTATATGTGATCTGAACTGTGTTTATACAGTCTATGGATCTGAATCAGCGTTAGGCTCAGGTGAGGATTGCTCACATATGCATGTCATTTAGAAAAGAATTTTTTATATATATATATATATATATATATATATATATGCATGGCTACTATAAACATATGCACTTGTTTGACGGTATTGTATTTGAGTCTTCTGATGTTATGTGTTTTATAAAATATTATCAGCATTTCTAGAGTATGAATTTTAAGGAATATTAGTGTTTATAATGAATACGATGTTTATGATTGAACAATATGGACATAACTGTTGTAATGGTCATATTGATTTGCAATGGGGCACGTGATTGTGTTATGAACTGAAACCTCGCCTGATATTTTCAGTTTTTATTTGCTGTATGCGAAGCAACATTATTTAATTAGAAAAAAAATAATGAAGTGAATGAAGTTAATTAGAAATAAAAGTGAAAATAAATAAACAAACAAACAGGGTGTTAAGTGTTGGTATAGTTGAAAAATGGACACCAATATTTTGGGATGAACTTTGTATATAAATGTGTATATGAGCAAATGTTTTTAATAAGTGTAAACTGGTCTATTTATTTTCACCACTTTTAATGAAAATGTTTTAATATGAAAATGTCAATTTGGGGTTTAGCCTATATGATCAAAAGTGTAAGAATTCCTTAGAGATTGTCCATTAGAAATTGATTTTGTAAATCCCACTACACAATTAAATAACTAGAGACAAAATACAACATTTTTGAGCAATATTCAAATTCTTGACCGGTTTGAAATAAAAAACAATGCAGTGCAATCAATTTGCATCATTGTGTCACAGTTTGCATCAGAAAATGCACATGAAAACAGACTGTATGAAGACCAGATTTACGATCAGATCGACGACCTAAAACACATTTCAATTGCTCAAAGACCCCTAAAACCCCTTGCAATTTCAAGTGTATATGAGAGACTTGTTTCTGGTTTGAGTTGAAGTCAAACTGAGCTTTAGTAGTTAAGAGATTATATAAAAACCAGAGCACACTGAAAGGCACGCTCTGTTATGAAAGTGTGGGTGGCTCTGAAAAGAGCCGTTGGGTTTTGAGTGCAAGGTTGGAGAGGTTTATCCTCCGAAGCCGTACAGAGTGCGTCCCTGGCGCTTCAGCGCGTACACCACGTCCATGGCGGTGACCGTCTTTCTCTTGGCGTGCTCGGTGTAAGTCACGGCGTCGCGGATCACGTTCTCCAGGAACACCTTCAGCACACCGCGGGTCTCCTCGTAGATCAGGCCGGAGATGCGCTTGACGCCGCCGCGGCGCGCCAGACGGCGGATGGCGGGTTTGGTGATGCCCTGGATGTTATCCCGCAGCACTTTACGGTGCCGCTTAGCGCCTCCTTTCCCGAGCCCTTTCCCGCCTTTGCCTCTTCCTGACATGCTTGCAGTTTCTACGTTGAACAACGGAACTTCTGATATGAGTGTAGCTGAGGTTGTGCGTGAAGACCTTTACAGTAGCCTACAGGACCTAATTGAAACACAAGAAGGCGGAGCTACGCGACATCCAGTCACATGGTGATCAGGTCTCTATCTGTTGCTGTTGCAGGGCTGCTGCAGTGTGCTCTGTGCATACGGTTTACAAGTCTGACCGTTCAGCAAATTCTACACAATTTATTTAACATTAAACTGTGCACCCAAGCTTTCCAAAGAGAGATTAGTATCCACTGCCTGCTCAAACGTCTCAAAAGCTTCGAGACATGTTATTGCTAATATGTTATTAGTTTAATGTTGCAGGAATTATGCGTCCATTCTTCAGTCCCTCTGTCCTCTGCAGGGTCACGGGATACTGGAGCTCATTCTAGAGTCTTGGCCCGCAGGCGAAGAAACCCTGGACAGATGCAGGACATATCAACATTTGATATATATTTCCTGCAATCTTCGGCCAAAAGAGTGTTGAAGTTACAGTGTGGCCCTGCAACAAAGATTTTGAAATGCTTCATTATGATGAAACAGACGTGGGCTAATATAAACTGAAAATAGAAATTGAACAGATCCAACCATTAAGCAACCAATAATTGTAATATCAACTGACCAAAAATGGTGATTTATCAACAGGGTCATGTATCAACTTTTTTTGTGAATTGACCACAAGGTGGCACTTTAATGGCTGAACATGTAATTTGTTTTGATATTGGATATGGAGCTGAGTGTCAGTTCTTACAATAAGTTCGAGAGGTTGTTACTATTTATTTATTGTTTGTTTGTGTATGTACATTCATGCTAAGTAGCTTAAGTACTTCCCCCTATTTATTAAATTTGTATTTATTTACTCAAAAGTCGGTAATTTTACGTTTATTCTTGCTCGATTTTACACACACACACACACACACACACACACACACACACACACACACACACACACATATATATATATATATATATA